TATACATACTTTGTTTCTCCAAAAGGGGGTCCTTCGGTGATACTTTAAAGCAAAGAGACGATATTATGATGACTGTTAATCAGAAATGGCGTCAACTAAGTCTTTTTCAGCTCTCCACCTCCTTCCCTGGCCGCCATTAGGCATGCAGCCAAAAAACTTATCATCATAATTACAACATGTTAAACTTGAACTTAACTGACCCTTCCCCACAAACCAACGTCGTGGAGATAACTCGCCATCCCCTACCCATCCCGAAAATTAATCACAAATTGACTTGTTACAGTGAAAGCTTTGGGCTAAAATTCATGTCTTATTGTTATTGTTTTGCTTGAAGGTACATTTTGAACTTCCTCCGCGACGGTGAGCTTCTTTGCCCGAAGGACGAAACAGTCCGGGAAGAACTGCTTAAGGAAGCCAGGTTTTATCAAGTTCAAGGTATTATTGAGCAACTGGAAGACAAAACACCGACGTCTCCTGGTTTTCTCGGCTCCTCTTTGATGGTAAAGAATGAAACCCACCAGTCAACTCTTCAGTCATGGTTGCCTCCTAATGCGACATGTTCTCTGTTGTTCCGAGCTTCAACTGATGGTGACACGCCTGCTGACTTTCATCGCTGCTGTGATAACAAAGGTCCTACTCTTTTGCTGATAAAAAGTGGAGAATATATCTTTGGTGGTTACATCTCAAAATCATGGGAATCACCTGGAAGTATGCAATTGATTCATAACCTCCATTCCATAATGATAATTTTGATTGGCACCTTGATCGCAATTCTACGTAGTAAAACCATTGCTTCAGCAGATCACAAACAGATACTTTGAAGGTGAATAATGATCAAATGAAACGGTTTAGCAACCATTGTGTGACAGAAGAAAAATGAATTTGACTTTTCTTTATTATAATATCTTTAAAGGCCAAAATCTTCGAACTCCTCGTTTGGAGCTTCGTTCAAGCACCACTTTATCTCACAGCAGATTCTTTACGGCATTTTTGCGGCGAAGACGAACCGCAAAACAGAATAATAAGGTAATCTCGGTAGAGAAAGATCATTCAAATGATATACTTAAATGAAAAAATCTTACAGCAACAACAACAACAACAACAACAAAATACGAAGACGTGTAAAACTGCACAATACGTTATTTCATTATTATGATTCATCCTGTTTGCAAGCTGGTCGAGAGCTCTATTCTAGTGGGCTTTTGCGAAAATTTTCTTATTAGTGTCAGAGCTTTTAAAGTGGAGAATGTCGTCTACCTTTTATTATGACCTTTTCAAGTGACCATCAACTATGTTTTCGTTCGTTTGTTTGCAACTTCTTGCAAGAGAGTCGAAGGATTAAAACGTTATCCCCCGAGGCCTTAGTTCTTAGCTAATCTCTCTCGAGCCATATTTGGAGATGATACCCAGTTCTCTGGCGGATAATGTCACTACGCGCGTTGTGTGGATGTTTT